TTTGTGCAGGAGCGAGTGACCCTCATGATCACATGAGGCTCCAGAGACTCCACGAAGGTGTGCAGCAGACAGCCACCAACAAGGGCTTGAAGAATAGCCATCTGCTCAGAGAGGGCAGGTGGGTGGTGGGAGATGGAAAAGTCTTTGCACAAGAGGACAGCAGGCCCCATGGCCATCAAAGAGCAGAGAGTGGTGGAGCTGGGATCTCAAAACCAGATCCTCTGGGTTCAAAGCCTCCCTGTGGTCTGCAGGCTGCCCAATGTTAGAAGGGGCGTTCTCTAACCTTTCCTCCCCAGTTACCTCTACGAAGTGAAGTAAGCTTCATAGTGGTGTATTTGCCCTGTAACCAGTGACCACAACCTAGTGGCTTGAAACAGCACCCCTTTATTAGCCCTCGGCACTGCCAGTCAGAAGCCCAGTATGATGTGGTTGTGTTCCCTGTGAAGGCCCTCATGGGCTGGAGTTAGCTTGGCTATGTTGAGTTCCAGCCTGGCGGTTCTGGGGGAAAATTTGCTCCCAAGCTTATTTATGTTGCTGGCAGAACTCTGTTGTGTGTGTGTGTGTTTAAGACTACAGCCCCCATTTCCTTGCTGGCTGTCATCTTTCAGTTCCTAAAGGTCTGTCATCATCCTTGCCACACAGCTGGTCTGGGGCCTTAATCACATCTATTAAATTCTGTTGTGGATGTACCAAGATTAGCGTTTGACTGGGTAAGCAGAAGGCAGGTCTTCACCAGGGCCGGAAGTGTAGGGCCGCCATCTTGGAATTCTGTCTACTGCATGCACCTAAGTCTAGGGGAGTTGTGGGGTCCCTATTAGCAAGTGGATGGGAAGGATCTGACACAATTCACATGTGTTGCAGGCAGAAGGATTTGCATGCAGAGAATTACTCATTTGGGCTCCCAGGACTGACAAGAACATGGTTGCGGTGATCGAAGAAGGTTTGGTATTGGGAATAATACAACCACTCAAAAATACCCTTTCGGGAGCTGCATTCTGATATATTTGGAAGCAGAAGGTGTCTCTTCTTCGTGCAGAACCCCACGGATGCCTCCCCTATGCGGGTCCCTGCATGGTAGTGGCAGCGAGGACTGGGATTGGGGTGAGGTGGCGGTAGTAAGTGGCTTCCAGAGGAGCCGTCGCAGAAATCATCTGCTTCGAGCTTTTGATTCTGGGCTTTTGATTCTTCCTGCTACAAGTTCAGCGACTCAGAAATCACTAAAATAATAACTGTCCAAGTCAGGAAAGCTAAACTAATTGGGAGAAATGAGAGCAGGAGACAGGACTCCCAGACAGAACTCCACAGGCAGGTTGTGGCTGGGATCCGTTTTCTAATCACAGGAGGGTATTTCCTTTCTTAGCCCAGAAGGATGAGGCAAGGGCCAGGGCCCTCCTGACTCTGGAAAGAGGACAGGCAGCCACCCTATGAGTAAGGAGCTTGACTGGCTGTTTTCTGTAAGTTGATGTTCCATATAGTCCAGGGTCAGCATAAGACAGACAGAGAGACAGATTGAGAGAGACAGAGACATAGAGACCCACATAGACAGACAGGTGGACAGGCAGACAGAGAGAAGGAGGGAAAGAGGAAGGGGCTGGGGAGAGGAAGGGAGAGGAGGGAGGGGGAGAACACAATGAAGGCAGCAGAGGGAGCAGCAGGGAGTGAAAATACAGTGACTGTTTCATTCCGCAAAAACCATGGTGGGAAGAAACTTTTCTTTCAAAAACTCCTACACAAGACAGTCTCTCCTGGCTCCTTGTCAGCTTCTGGATTTTCTCAAAACTTCCCCTAGAAAACGCAAGCCAACAGACTCCCCCTGACTACAGTCATCTTTGGAAAGCTGTCCAGCCTCTTCTGGGATTTTCAAAGTGATTCAGGGCTGGGCTTGGGCTCAGATGGGGGGGAGGTCTTGGGGTGGAGAAAGGCGGGAGTCTCCGGCGCTAGGAAGCACAGAAATGGACACGGCTTGGGGGTGTGCTGGGTCTGTCCCCACGGGGGATGTCAGGTGAGTGCATGGGGAGTAGAGAACCCACCTATCTGTTGCAGCTCTGATTTCTGTACCAGGAGACACGGCGTGTTTGGCCTTCCCTTGTAAGGTAAGGGGGTCCTTTGATAACCCACCCAAGCGAGGCTTGCAAGAGGTCGGCCCTGCCCACCAGTTTCAAGATGTCCAAGGAAGGATACTGTCTGACCTAGGGAGCTGGCGGAGGGAAGAGCTGGTGAAGGGTACCTGCGAGCCATACCTGGGCGTTACCTGTGCTCCAGGTAAGCTCTACCTTCCATCTTTACTTTGAAAGGAACAGACTTCCCTTGGCCTGTTGCTTTTGGCCTGAAGTGTGGGACTACATTTCCCTTGGTCCTCGCCTGCGTCCCCGTCACTGTGTCACTATGAGGCAGATGCCAGCACTGCCTGATGCAGCCGGGCATGGGCTGGCTGGCTGTCAGCAGCAGCCTGGCAGGCACATTTGGCCTGATTACATTTCTAACTTGGGTTGTGCCACACCTCGTTATGTTGTGAGGGGGGACAGAGAAGGAGGAGGGAAGAACAGTGGTTGAGGGTTTGCAGCAAACTTGCGCGTCAGACAGCTCCATATACTCCGCTCAACGCATTTCAACTCAACTAAGCATTGCCATCAATGGACAGCTATGACCGAGAGCCTGAAACATTTTCAATCATGTAGAAGCCCCACCTTCCAACAAGTGAAATAAAACGGGGTGTGTGTGTGGGGGGGGGGCGGGTTATTCCCTAGCTCCTATTGGTAATGAGCTCAAGCTGTAGAACGATCCTTTCTGACGTTCTGACATTGCTACTTATTAGCGTGGTGCTTAGAGAAAAAAAATCACTCACTAATGGTCTCTTCCGGGCAAGTGGTGAGGAATGCTGATTTAGCTTATTTTATTACCTGCACGTCTCCTGGTGTGGCAGCTGGCTTGCTGATACAATTATTCTGGATAGCAGTTAATGCTAGGTCATTACTGGCTTGGTTGAATCCACATACGTCTACTGAACCCTGGCTTTTAAATATTGGCTAGGTGGTGGCTACAAACGAGGAGGGTTTGTCTGTGCAAGAGAATGACCATTAGCAAGGTCAGCCACCCTCGCCCTTTGCTGTCCCCTCTAATTATTGTCTGCACTGTGATGTGACACCTTTTTTGCACGTGGTAGCACACACCGGCTCCGTCAGACGGCCACGCGTCCTCATATTGGTCAGGGAACACTTGCTCACACTCACAACCCTGGCAGGAGAACGCCAGCATGATTGAGATTCACACCAGCTAATGAGTCTTCCGCGTCCTGTTTCATCCCCAGTCTAAGCAACAATGCAACTTGCTCGTTAATATCATTGTGTTGGCATTTACAGTTCACCTGGGTGAAGGCAGGGTGTTGTGTCTTTGAGGTTCAATTTCCACACTTCTAAGTGTCGCTGACCTTTCCTGCGACAGCCCACAGACCTCCCTAGAGATCTCCAGCATTAGAAGGATGAGCAAATGCCACAACAGTCACAGTCAGCCAACCACACAGAGCGACTCCATTATTTTTGAATACCCAAGGTCACCAGCCTCCACTGAGCCACCCTCTGTTAAATGACCAAGATCACTTCTGGGCTGTCACTGTATATGTGTGCCACAGGACGGTGTAGAAATCAAGTGCAAAATCAACTGGGGGACAGGTCGGTGGGGGAGGTTTTTGCATTGCTGCCAATAGATGCCCCTGGATTTTCCTTCAGGACCAAATGTAACACAGGGACCTTTAAGACCATAGACACGAGACTGCTCAGCTGTGGCTACAAAAGCATACGCTGTTGCCCACCCTCATGTGCGGAAGAGAAATGCAGATCACTTTCCCGGACAAAATGCCCCGAGTTCACTGCTCCAGGCTCCCGTGTTACTGGGGAAATAACAGTGATAGAGAAAACACAGTGTCTGCCACACCACCCGAACCTGCCTTCCTGTGGCACATGACTGGCACACCGATGCTGAGCCACCCAACACCCTCTTTCTGATACACAGTCATCAGCCACAGCACACAACTGAAATTCACCACAGTGAGCGCGGTCAATCACTCCACTGCTCACTTTTCACTTTCTGAAGGGTGTTTCTCCCCGCCATCAATCTGATCACGCAGAACCCTTAAAAATGGGCGAATGCTGAGTTTCTGCAGGACCTGGGGTGGTCCCAGCTGGACGATAAAACCTGGTGAACTCCCAGCTTTCAACCTCTTGTATTCAAAAAAGTGATGGGTGTGGTGCAAATGTGAACTCTGAATGTGAGTGATAATTAGACCACTCGACTTGGTCTCTGCCATTAGCTGGGGGTGCAAGGGGGTTCTCAGGATCCTCCTTCCCGGTGGTAAATCCTCTGCCCCCTCCCCCTTTGCAAAAATATCCTTCATAATTGTTTCCCAAATATGTTTGTTGTTTTTTCCTTCTCCTTCTAGATTGGGTTTTAAACACTCCCAGGTAGACTTTTACTGCCTCTAAGTTCCAAGCATCACGTCTTGGACCCAAGTCACCTCAATCACCACTCTAATAAAACTGCCTTCGCGCAGTGCCGTTCACCAGGGAGGGTCAAGGCACGTTTAAACAGAACAGAGCAGGCGACCTCTCAGGGAAAGGACCCTCGGCTTTCTGCCCACTGACCTCTTGTGACTCTGTGGCCTTGGAAAGTTACGGAAGCCAGCTGCATTTTCAGGGAATACACTTGCTTTCTGGAAGCAAGAGGTAAGGGTTCAACTCATGCAGCCATCTCTGGAATTTGGAACCCTCCTTCGAAAAGCCGAAGTCCAGCAGCGGCCCTGACACCAGGACAAAGAAGTTGGAGTGGACGGCGCAGGGGAGCACGACCCAGAGCCCCGGGGAGGGGCTGGGAGCCCTTCTCCGCTGCTCCTTAAAACTTCCCGCACTGAGATACGCTCAGATCCAGAACCGCAGGTGGGGCCGGGCGGGGGGCTGCGCTCCCAGCGGGGTGCAGGGCCGGAGCGCGGCCGAGCGCGGGCGGGGTCCTCACCTGTTCCAGCGGGCCACCTTCCTCCGGTAGTACCGCAGCGCCTCCTGGCTGGCCAGCAGCGAGTCTTCCGGCCCCAGGAGCGGCGGCTCCTCCGCCGCGCTGTACAGCGGGTGGGCGAAGAGGGCCTGCAGCTTGGAGCCGCCGCGGGCTGGCGCAGCCCGGGGCCCGGCGGGGG